CCCCCCCACCCCCCATCACTTTTCTAACGATCCGTCCCTAAAGCTTACAAAACGGCGTGGACATTTTAAAATGAAGACGCCAACTAAAATCAGTTGATTGAAATCGAATATTATCCAGGCATTTCTTGGCATAGACCCTTTAAATAAATGACTGTCAATTTAAAATTCTTTTGTCTGCATTTAAATTAGCCCCACTAAACTTGTTTGAGAGTAAACATTCTTTTGAAATATCAACTCGAACACGAGGTCAGTCAGGACAATTGTAATAATTTTAAAAAAATATTTAATTCTCAGTCATTTATGAAAAGGGTTTATAATCTGCCTCATTTATGGAAAATTATGCACACCTGTTGCGTGACATGAGGGAACATTTTGAATGATTAGTTAATGCATAAAGGCGAATCCGTTATGGCCGTTATTGCAATCCCTTATCTATTGTTAGATAAAACAAGTTTGAAATATTAACTGAATGTAGATTATGACATTGAAAATTCTCATAAGACGAGTTCTACGAATGGTTTTGTTTTGCTTGTGATTGGTTGAAAAAAAAAACTTACTAACGAACAAGATCCTCGCCCTGATAGGCCCTTTGCAGGATCCGGTCACATGGTACGGAATAAATTATGCTGGGACGCAAGTTACACAATGGGACTTCCAAAACAAAGCAACTCGTACCAACCCAGCCAGACTTTCCTTTGTTTTGAAAGTCTCACTGTGTAACTTGCGTCCCAGCATAATTTATTCCGTACCATGTGACCGGATCCTGCAAAGGTGCTATTGGTTAGACATGCTGCGTGACGTTTTCAATATATAAATTAAATAAATTAGCGGAAAAGAAGAAAAGCAACACGACTTTCTCGAGTCAACAGAAGACTTTCCTATTGATTGTCTTCATTCGCGGATAACCAGTGGAGCATTCGTTCTCAGGCAACAGATATGCGAACGAGAGAATTCGTCATCACGAGAAACCATTAACATTTTTGACGAGTTTCATCACAAACCATAAACAGTGACCTCAGTAACTTGAAGAATAGCAGAATTCTACTGACATAAGAAAATTCTCTTCTGAAGTACGTAACGGTCGACATATACATTCTAATAAGCATATGATGTAGACTGACTTGTTTTGCAGAGTGGGTTGAGAGAAAACAATCGCTAATTAATAGAGAACATGACAATCGTCCTAGTAACCATAGCGAGTGTTAAGTACGTTAATGGTCCGTTTCTCACATCAAGGCTTACCGACTGATTGTAAATTTCAATTTATTTAAGTATTTTGCCTGGCAATTTTATCAGACTGGTTATAACTGCCGAAAGACATCAGATTGAAAAATCAAGGCAAAGAGAGAAAAATTTTGGTTAAAATAGCAATGTTTGGCTTTGAGTTCTATGGTTAGAGGTAAGTTATATATTAGTTATACACAGTAAACTAACGGTTTTTTAGGCAATATCGTAAACAAATTCATGCGTGCTATGGGTTAAGACAAAGACATCCGGTGTGATAGATTTGCAACAAAATACTACGCAATTTCGTTAGCACTCCGATGTTTGAACAAAAAGCTTTTTCAGTAAAGACCGGCTGAGGAAATCGTCAACGCACCTGAAACGCTATGAAAAGGGCGGGTACCTGTTTAACATAGAACGGAAAACGCTGAATATTGGGGGCTTCTTTCTAATTTCTAAGTGAACAAGTGTCTCGTTTGATGATCATTTGTGTGAAGAGAAATTTTACAAGAAAAGTATTGGCCTGTAGATATTTTATTTTGCATTT